GGTTATAGACAGTTGAGTTGGAGCTGCGAGTTGGGACTTATCTTACCAGTTCAGCATTTCTTGAGAGGTAAGTCTCCTCACCATACCATTGGGTCTAAGGCACCAAGGCCGGCCCATTTTGTGATATATGGTACACTATTTGATGTAGTGATATATGGTATGTTAGTTGGTTATATGTTAGGTGGCATGCTAGTTGTATATGTGATATTCCAGGAAAAACCATGGGGGAGCCCATGGTGCACGGATGTAAGACCATGTGGGGGAGCCCATGGCTTTTCAGGTAAAGACCATGGGGGAGCCCATGGCACTTGGATGTCAGACCATGTGGGGAAGCCCATGGCTTTCCAGGTAAAGACCATGGGGGAGCCCATGACACCTAGGTGTAAGACCATGTGGGGGAGCCCATGGCATCCTGGAGTAAGACCCTAGGAGGAGCCCACGACATCCTTATATGTTTATATGCATGGTTTATATGATTATGTAGATTATGTGGGGTATGCTCTGCGGAACTCACTAAGCATTAGCTTAAAGTTTGTTGATTGTTTCAGGTACTTCAGAGCCTAAGGGCAAGGGCAAGGTTTGATGGAGCGGCATGCACTCTCTCGCATTTTATACGGGGACACTCTGATACTTGAAATAAAATGTTGATGTCATGGATTTTGGAACAATTGTAATTGAGATTCATGTTTTATGGGAATGTTTTGATTATTTAAAAATGAAAATTTTATTTGGAAAATTGGGCTGTTAAAAGTTGGTATCAGAGCCTTGGTTTGAGGGATTCGGGGAATACTCTCGGGTGTGTCAGGACTCAAACTAAGGAAATGGTAAAATTGTTTTCAAAAATCAAAAGTAAAAAACTTCTTAAAATGGAAAAAAAGGGAGAGTGCAATGCGCGTAAGCGCCCGAGCTCAAGTAAGTAGTTCCCCAATATGTTAGCTGATGAGATATGGTCCACTGGCATGGCCTAGACTGCTCTAGCGCGCCAGCCTGGCCTGGCGCGCTCCTGCCAGCCCTGCCTGGCGTTCCCTTGCTAGCCCTTGCTGGGGACTCCCTTGCCAGCCCTGCTGGGGACTCTCCTGCCAGCCTGGCCAGGCGCTCCCTCGCCTGTCACTCCTTGTCATCCCTTCCTGGTTCGTGCCCGCCAGCCCTGCCTGGGGCGCGCCCGCCAGCCCCGCCTGGCGCCTCCGGGCGGCCTCGCTCAGCTCCTTGCTAGCTGGGCCTGAATTGGGCCGGCCCAAGGCCTGACCTAATTGTCCCCTATATAATGAACAGTACCTCCTCCATGGAGGAGGACTTTTCCCTAGACTCTCTCCTAAGTGGTTCAGCCACCACTAGACTTCCCCATGGCTCAGCCGCCACTATACTCCGGCAGGGTGGCTCAGCCGCCACCCGCCGCCGTCAGCCACCACCAGCACCAAGATGGTTCTCTCCAGCTATGGAGGACCATCTCAGATCTTCTAGCTGATCTAACTTGACCGTCGGAGCCTGCTCCCGGGGCACAGTCCCTGGGACGGCTCTAACGGGTTTGCACTGTGATGTCAGATCTCCGCCGCAGCAGAAGACCAGAAGCGCCGCCGGAGGTCGATGTCGCATCATTTGGCGCCGTCCCGGACTCGAACGAGCAGCTATCATCTCGTTCTTGGCTAGATCTGTTCAGATCTGTTGCATTTCAGCTCAGGTTTGCTCAGATCTGTTCATGTTTAGCATCATGTTGTTTAGATCCGTTTGGCTTTTGCCAAGATCTGTTCAGATCAATTTGGTTCTTGGCAAAGATCTATCCAGATCTGATTAGCTAAGTTTCAGATCTTTCAATCTGATGCACTTTTTGTTCAAGATCTGAATATGTACTTCGTTTTTAACTCAGATCTTTAGATCTGAACGTTTTTGTTAACTGATTCACCTTTCAAGTTCTAAAAACACAATTTCAAACCCGTTTTTACTTGTATTTTCGGGGAGAGAAGAGGGTTTTTTCAACCATTTCTCCATGTTTGTTCATATTTTGGTGTTTATTCAAATAACTTGAGAGGAGAAGAAATTTTTCGTGACTTTTTACTTTATTTTCAGTTTATGTTACCAAAAATGACCTTTAGTTTATGAATTTCTTTGCAAAGCCCCTCTGAAGTAGTCTATTTAGTGTTTTCTCTAAAAAGATTAGAGATAGAGAATGAAAATTGTTCCAGATCTGTTTCTTGCTCATATCTTCATAGCTTGTTGAGCAAGCTGAAAGAAAATGAAGCTTTATGAGCAGTACCTTACCAGATCCGTTTTTCTTTTTGAGTTTGTTCAGCAATGGGGGATGAAGAAAAGAAGTTTTTTTATGAGTTTCTTTTGTTCATACATCATCTGAAAATTCTCCTCTAGCTGTGCATTTTCTTGTACATTCTTACCCACTGCAGCAGTTATTTGTACAGACAGCCATATGGCTTGTACATTTTACAAAACCCTCATAAAGAAAAGAGAAGAGAGAGAAGCTTTGATGGGTCTTAACCCACCTTCAGTTTATATAATTTTCAGAAAATCCCATTTAATTTATGATTTTCAAAGTTTATCAAAGTTGTTCATATTTAAATTCATTTCAGTAATGATTTGTGGGTATAAATGTGTTTAAGTTGTAAAAACAGCAGTGAAGCTTGTGCATTTCAAAACCCATGAGATAGTATTTTTACCTTAAAAATTTACTCTATCATCTCTAAAATTTACTGACTAGTAAAAAAAAAAAAGAAAAGTTGCTTTACATTTCACGTATAAATGTGTTCAAGTTGTATAAAGAAATATTACAAAATGGTCTTGAATGTGTTCAAGTTGTATAAAGAAATATTACAAAATGGTCTTGATGCTCTTTGTCTCTCCTAAGCCGACATAAAGAAAAAGGAGGGGGTAAGGGTGCACAGTGCACAGTGCACCAGAGACAGTGCTGTCAACAAAGTCAAAAACCCGTATGGGACCTATGTGTTCCAATCCCCTATGTACAGAAAAGACAAAAGAGAAGGACCCACTGATCGACACATTTTCCCGAGAAGCCAAAGACCTCCCGAAACCCCAGGTTCTCTCGCCGGACCAAACCATCAGCGGATCCCCAGCAACAATGGTTTTCGATTAGTGCCATTGACCTGTTGGACTCGTTTCAAGCATCGCCGCTAGTAGCTTGAACCAAAAATTACCGATCGCAACCCCTCGTAACCTCCCCAGCAGCACCGCCAACTAGAGCCGAGGCTCCACCAGTCGATCAAATCAAGATATGAGCAAAGTCGCATCTCCGCTCTGATTTCCCTCCATAACTGGCACCTCATATTGAGCGACCACCAGGAGTCACAAGATAGCCAATCACCGACGTCTTCCTTTTGGATTCACCACTTGATAGATCGGAACGTGAGCACCACAACACCACTGTGTCTAATTAACCACCACGCCCGTCGGCCGGTCGAGGAACCTCAGTCGCTAAGAGCCGCTGCCTATGCCAGACTAGCTCACCCCGGAAGCGCCACCTGGCGCCATCGTCAGTTACGCCCAGCCCCGAAAAGCAACGGCTGCCGGTTACCTGTTTTCCCATTTGTCACCCAGCCGTATTGCCGATTGGCTCCCCCCTTACCAACAACGGACTTTAGGTGAAGAATCAATAAAACCACCAGTTGATCCTCCAGCAGCGAAGTCGACAAAGTGAAGCTGCGATTTGATCCTTCACCTCTGTGGCCATCAAGAAGCTCACAGCGCACCCAATTACCCATCTCGTTCCATGAAGATGACAAAAGGGAATTAGGGCATTACCCACACACCGTATCTGGGGAGATTAATGAATAATTGGGCCGATAACATGGACTCATACGTTCATTTTGGGCTCCATGATAATTGGGCCCCAACAGATATATTTTGGGCTAGCACTTCATTTTATCGAGCTGCCTCACCAAGACAAATGGATCAATTTTACAAGGCAAAAAAAACAACTTCCCAGTACCCGTTTATTGAGATCCCGCCCAACAAAATTCGACTTTAGAAGATGCGTTGCGAACTAGACCGCTCGGTATTTTCAAAATATATATGAAAAATAATAAGAAGGAAAAAGGAGTTGGGCTAGTCACTTCCAAATGGGCTCTTGGATTTATTTTAGCAATGTAGTTTTCCCTGCATCAATTTTTCATCTTATTGGGCCCATTCTAGCGGGATAAAAATCAACAGCTAATGATCACGTATTGCAAGCCGATCCAACAAAGTCAAAATCCAAAAGAAACATTACGCTCTACTTAGCACTTTTCAAAAAAAAAAAAAAACAAAAAAAAGGGAGGGAGAAGAGCAGTACGCTACTACTCGTGACGCATTCCGAAATAATCGTCAACAATTGCAATACCCGGCTATCAGTAGTCGTGTTGACCAGCTTTAGGCAGTATCACTACTCAGCTATCGCCATTCACGTTGATCGGTCACGCCAATCTCGCTATTCGCCTCTCAACAGCCGCACCGCCTGGATCTTAGCGGTCTCGCAGCCTGGCCCTCAGTAGCGATGCGGCCCAGCACAATAGCGACAAAGCCCAGTCATCAACAGTTGTGTCGTCTGACCAACAGTCGTGCTACCCGGCTTTTATTAGCAGCTATATGACGGTCATTTCCCTTTTCCTCGCCTCCTCTAAGAAAAAAAAGGGGGGGGGGTGGCACGACACTATGCATAAACGATTTTTATTCCGAAGGGGCGGAATTGAAGTACATGAAGAGCTGATGCTATGCATGATAATGCACCCCCAAGGTGACATTAATATTCCGAGTCGAAAGATCATCCCCGTCGTTCAACCCTCGATAGTCTTGTTGCCCAGCTCTCAGTGGTCGTACTGCTCATCTATCGCTAGCAGCTCGATGCTCAGTTCTCAGCGGCCCTGATGACCAGCTCTCGACGGCGGTCTCGCTACGCACCACTTGACGGTAGCTACACTATCCAGCTCTAAGTAGCACCCCAACATAGCCCTCGACAAATAGTCAAGACACCGAGGCATCAATTATTAGTACGACCAGAGATGCAACAAAGCATCAGGTACCATTCCGCTTTAACCCAGACTTGTCACACGAGCTAGACACATAAATTGTAGGGCGCCAAGCTCCGCATACGAGGTTCAGTACCCTCGCCTCGAGTCGCCTGGCTTCACAGCCCGACTCCATTATAGCGGCACGCTCTGCATACGAGGTTCAGTACCCTCGCCTCGAGCCGCCTGGCTCCTCAGCCCGACTCCATTATAGCGGCACGCTCTGCATACGAGGTTCAGTACCCTCGCCTCGAGTCGCCTGGCTCCTCAGGCCGACTCCATTATAGCGGCACGCTCTGCATACGAGGTTCAGTACCCTCGCCTCGAGTCGCCTGGCTTCTCAGCCCGACTCCATTATAGCGGCAAGCTCAGCATGCGAGGTTCAGTACCCTCGCCTCGAGTCGCCTGGCTTCTCAGCCCGACTCCATTACAGCGGCAAGCTCCGCATGCGAGGTTCAGTACCCTCGCCTCGGGTCGCCTGACTTCTCAGCCCGACTCCATTATGGCGGCACGCTCTGTATGCGAGGTTCGGTACCCTCGCCTCGAGTTGCCTGGCTTCTCAGCCTGACTCCATTATAGCGGCACACTCCGCATACGAGGTTCAGTACCCTCGCCTCGAGTCGCCTGACTTCTCAGCCCGACTCCATTATGGCGGCACGCTCCGTATGCGAGGTTCAGTACCCTCGCCTCGAGTCGCCTGGCTTCTTAGCCCGACTCCATTATAGCAACTTGCTCTGGCCATTCCACGCAACGCTCTTTCGCGTGATTTATCTACGATCGCTGGCAGCCAAGCCCGATCCATTCCACACGACGCTCTTCCACGTGATTTATCTACGATCGCTAGCAGCCAAACCCGATCTGTTACAGGTGAGGCTTTACCGCGTAACATCTCCATGATCATTGGCTGCTAAGCCCAAGCTACTCTCCTAAGTGGCGCACCATAAGTCGCGCATCACAAGCTTATTCCACACCATGAACTTGGTGCTTCCTCTCTCACAGTCATCATGGTTCTCTTGTGCCCGGATGATCGATGAAGTGTTATCCACATTACAACCTGCTATAGTGAGGTTACTCTCCAGCAAGAAGGTCATCCCGACAGCGGCCCTGCTACCTACGGCCCCACAGCATCCCTGTTTCCTGGCTCTCGGAAACGGTCTTGCTGCGTAACCCTACCTGTAGTCTCGCCGCGTACCCCACAACATCTTTGTTTCCTGGCTCTCGGAAATGGTCTCGCTGCGTAACCCTACCTGTAGCCTCGCCACGTACCCCACAACATCTCTGTTTCCTGGCTCTCGGAAATGGTCTCGTTGTGCAACCCTACCTATAGCCTCGTCGCGTACCCCACAACATCTCTGTTTCCTGGCCCTTGGAAACGGTCTTGCTGCGCAACCCATACCTCTGGCCTCACCGCTTATCCCTTAGCACCTCTGCTGCCTGTCTCTCGGCAACAGTCTCACTGCATGTTTCCTACCTATAGCCTCACTACTTGTTCCTCAAGAATTCTGTTGTCTGGCTATCGACAATAGTCTTACTACGTGACCCTCGCTAGTAACCTAGTCGCCCAACTCTCAGAATCTATTCCTCGCCTCCTCTAAGAAAAGGGGGGGGGGGGGGGAATAGGGTTGGTACGCCGCAATCCAGCTAGGTGTAGTCCGAGCAAGAAAGATCCTCAAGATGGTTATTAATACAGACTATGTAGATGGTTACTGGTGACATCCCATCTCGCATGGCTACCACAACAATCACGTCGGATAACAGTCTCAGGGACTGAATGGCAAGCTTACGCTTCTTAGCTACCCCGGTCCGACATTCCACCGACATCAGTGTCGCGTAACACTCTTTACCAGCCTCGGTCTACATTAACGCAGCAACAGTTACGTTGCATCGCACCGGCCGACTCACACTCCTCTCAACGAAGGAGTATCAAGTCATATCAAGCTACATAAGCAATGCTTGGCTCATCGCATAACCCCACGGCTCTCGTGGGCGAGGTTCGGTCATTCCTCTTTATTATTTATTGCTTTGGTGCTTTATCTAGTCCGATCCGATTGTCAGCAACCTAATCGCATCAGACTAAGGGGACTTGACGACGCACAATTTATTTGACTAAGTCCAGTCAGGTGTCATTGGCCGCGTACCAATAACACCAGACTGGGGGGACTTGATGATATATGGTCCATTAGCATGGCCTAGACTGCTCTAGCGCGCCAGCCTGGCCTGGCGCGCTCCTGCCAACCTTGCTGGGGACTCCCTTGCCAGCCTCGCTGGGGACTCTCCTGTTGGTTTATACGACTTAGTCCAGTCCGGTGTCATTGGCCGCGTACCAATAACACCAGACTGGGGGGACTTGATGAGATATGGTCCACTGGCATGGCCTAGACTGCTCTAGCGCGCAAGCCTGGCCTGACGCGCTCCTGCCAGCCCTGCCTGGCGTTCCCTTGCCAGCCCTGCTGGGGACTCTCCTGCCGGCCTGGCCAGGCGCTCCCTCGCCTGTCACTCCTTGTCATCCCTTCCTGGTGCGCGCCCGCCAGCCCTGCCTGGGGCGCGCCCGCCAGCCCCGCCTGGCGCCTCCGGGCGGCCTCGCCCAGCTCCTTGCTAGCTGGGCCTGAATTGGGCCGGCCCAAGGCCTGACCTAATTGTCCCCTATATAATGAACAGTACCTCCTCCATGGAGGAGGACTTTTCCCTAGACTCTCTCCCAAGTGGTTCAGCCACCACTAGACTTCCCCATGGCTCAGCCGCCACTATACTCCGGCAGGGTGGCTCAGCCGCCACCCGCCGCCGTCAGCCACCACCAGCACCAAGATGGTTCTCTCCAGCTATGGAGGACCATCTCAGATCTTCTAGCTGATCTAACTTGACCGTCGGAGCCCGCTCCCGGGGCATAGTCCCTAGGACGGCTCTAACGGGTTTGCACTGTGATGTCAGATCTCCGCCGCAGCAGAAGACCAGAAGCGCCACCGGAGGTCGATGTCGCATCATTAGCCATGTTATACTGATACTGGATTATGATAGTCGGATGGATTTTGCTATGTGTATGCTTTAAAAATTGTATACGGTTAGGATCTTATAGCCTTCGAATGATTGATATAGCCTTATTTCCTGCTCCTTGTCTGGTTGTGGTCTTAGGATAGAGTATGTTATTCGAAAGTCTATTTGATCCTGTTCTGTGTATAATTTGCATTCATAGGGCAACCTGTTATGATTGATTTGAGTTTTGGTTTGATGGGATTGAGCAAATCATAGGATAGCCTAGGGTTTGAATTATGCAGTATCCCGTAAGATATGTTTTGTTCTAGGACGAATTAGAGTTATCAGGTAGAGCTTTGGGGAAGGTACATGTAGGTGTGGAAGGTAGTATCGGGCTTATTCTACTGAAAGCATAGGAGCTGTACCCGAACCAATGTTAGATCTGGAAGCTCTAAGGAGAACCGGTATGGGAGAATCCCTTTTTTAGATATCTTGATCATTCTGTCTTATGGTATTTCAGATCAGAATAGTGGTGACACGACATGGAGCAGGGGGTCAAGATCAGGATCAGGGTCCGAATTTGGGTCGGGCGATGGTACCGAGCCCATTGACGAGAGGCTGTGCGAGCTTATTACAGTCGAGGTTACGAGGGGCATCCTTGACGCTACCCCGGTGATTTTTAGGACAGTCAAGGAATGGATGATGGAGATCATGGAGGAGAGGCTCAGGCCGTTCAGAGCCGAAATTGTTGCAGGCCAGGTCGGGGCCCGAACTCCCTCGTTTCGGGAGTTCAAGGCGTGTGGGGCACCGAAGTTCTTCGGGGTCAGGAACCCCACAGTTAGCCGATGCTGGGTGGCAGACATGGAGAACGCCCAACGCACGAGCTCTTGCCCTGATGCGGCAAAGGTGGGGTTCGCTTCGTGTATGCTGAGGGACCGAGCCCGGGACTGGTGGGGATAGGTGACCAGTCAGGTGGGGGCAGCTGGAGTGGTAGAGATGACATGAGAGGAGTTTGCCAGGCGTTTTGATTTGGGGTTTGCACCATCTATTGAGGTGCAATGACTAGTAAAGGAGTTTCATGAGCCGCAGCAGACCACCGAGACTATGGTAGAGATCACTGCCAAGTTTCGGGAGTGAGCACTATTGATTCCGCAGTATACTGTGGATGTGGATATGAGGAGCACGAGGTATCATTCCATGCTGAGGGATATATCCATGAGTTCGTGAGCTTTTCAGGGTACAAAACCCTCAGTAAGATGATGGAGAAGGCCCAAGAGCAGGAGATGGAGTTGGAGCTTCGCACCAATCAGAAGCCAGAGAAGGTTCAGACAGCTGTAGGTCAGGCTAAAAAGCCTAAGACCTCCGATTCTTCTGGTAGGGGCAAGCAGGGCCTAGGACGGTGCGCCAAGTGCGGGAAGCCACACAGTGGAGCTTGTCGGGCGGCAGGCTTGGGATGTTACGCGTGTGGCCAGCCGGGTCACATGAGCAGGGATTGTCCCAAGAACGGCTTGATTTGCTCCCACTGCAACCAGACCGGCCATAAATGGACCGATTTTACGAGGTTGCAGGGAGGAGGAGGAGCAGTGGCGGCTCCTGCGCCCGCCACAATGAGGATCACTGATGGCCGCCCTGCCAAGGCGGAAGCTCCTGTAGTGAAGAGCCATGCATTGCAGCTGACCATAGAGGAGGCTCGAGCTGCACCAAATGTCGTGGCTGGTGCGTAATCTATTTTCTTGTTTGATATTATTTGATTATGCTTATATATATGTATATATATATATATATATATATATATATATATATATATATATATATATATATATATATATATACCTATGTGCACCTGTATTGGGACCTTTTTGGTCAACGGTATGTCCGCTCATGTTCTTTTTGATTCGGGAGCTACCCGATTGTTCGTATCTCTTGCGCTTAGGAAGAAGTTGTGGGATGCTCCGGGGACTCTGGATTCCCCACTGGAGGTGGAGATTGCAGATGACCGCACCGTGAGTGCTGCGAGGGTATATCGGGACTATGTCCTGAATGTGTTTGGGGAGAGGTTCGGGTTGATCTGGTACCGATACCATTGCAAGGACTGAAGGTGATCATTGGGATGGACTGGTTAGGGGCCAATGGGACCATGATAGATTGCGAGTGCCAGTTGGTGAGAGTTTGAACCCCAAGTGTGAGAGAACTGGTAATCCATGGGGAGAGGACCTCGCAGGGGCCAACCCTTTATTCAGCTGCGAGGGCTAGGAGACTTCTCTATCAGGGTTGTTCAGGATTTTTGGCCTATATTGCGGATACGAGGGTTGAGCCCACGACATATTTGGGTAGTGTACCGGTTGTACGGAATTTTCGGGATGTCTTTCCCGATGAGTTGCCAGTGGTGCCTCCGGGGAGGCAAGTGGAGTTTCGAATTGATTTGGTGTCGGGTGCCCCTCCGATACCCAAGGCACTGTACCGGCTAGCTCTGCTCGAGATGCAGGAGTTGTCTATGCAGCTTCAGGATCTGCTAGACCGAGGGTTTATGTGACAACCCAAAATTTCTATCTTGTACAACCATTCACTTCAATAGAAGTCAGATTTATTTCTGCTAAT